AAGAGCATACGGACGTAAGAGTTTTTCTGCTCCAGGTGGTTGAGCGCAGTGTTGACCACAGAGGAGATTGCATCCTCTGTTGATCGGTTCTCACGGTATGCGTACTGATGAGGGTCCTCGTTGATGTTGATGGTTGTTTTGATGTGAGTCATGACCAGTTTTTCAAAGCATTTAGCGACTATCGGGGTGAGGGCCACTGGCCGATAGTCATTCAGACCAGTCAAGCAGACATAGTTGAACTGGGATGTCAGCTCCTCAGTAGTGGTGAGAAACACTGGGGGCTGAATGATCATTTAAGAGTTATAAACATCTGTGAAACATGTGGCAGTGAAGTGGTTAATGGTCCGGGTGCGACGTGCAGGAATGCATGGCTTAGGAGTTAGATGGGCGAGGGTGAACTCAAACTGGACTGGTATGTGGTCTGAAAAAACATTATCACCAATAACAAGATTATTAACAGTCATATCGTGAGTTAAAACAAGGTCCAGTGTATGTCCACGCTCTTGGGTGGGACTGTTTACATGCTGAGTTAAATTAAATGAGTCCAATAAATCTAAAACGTCCTTAACCAAGGGCTTCTCAGGACAGCACACGTGCAAATTAAACTCACCAATAATGAAAACATGCTCATATTTTGGAGTGATTTCAGCCAAGAATTCAGAAAACTCATTTATGAAGTCCTTAGAACGAGGTGGACGGTAGACAAGTGCAAATAACGTCGGAGGTGAATGTCCGAGTTCAAAGACGCTCAGCTCAAAGCTGGCGCGGGAAACTAGGATGGGCAGTTGTTTACAGTCAAAAGTTGATTTGAATATTGTTAATAATCCACTACCGCGCCTGCCTGATGGCCGCGGGGCGTTAAAACACAGACAGTTTGGTGGCAGTAATTCCGGCCAGGCGTTGGACTCACCCTGAGACATCCAAGTCTCTGTGATGCAGAAAAAGTCCAGATTGTGCTGTTGAAAGTAGTCCCTGAGGATAAAAGTTTTGTTGGTAACAGATCTTGCGTTGACCAAACACATCCGGATATTGTCCAAAGTAGAGCCAGCAGCGGTGGAGTTAGCGCACGCTAATGGCCACAGGTTTTCAATAACATCCCCTCCAGTTCGGTCCAGGCTGCGCAACGGCTGACAACTCCCACTTGTTACCTGGTCCGGGCACGTGGGAAGCTGGAGACCATGACCACCAGCTGGAGGGGAAGATGCAGCGCGCAGAGCTTTCAGCTTCACCAGCTGACCAGCACGTTTTCCCCAACGTCTGAAGCTAGATCTCCGGGCAGGGAGGTGAGGAGCGCAGCAAAGGTAAGCTGGCACGTCCGCCAGCAGTGGGGGAGGAGGGGGGGTCCAGAGGTATGCTGATAATGGTCCAGAAAAGCGACATCAGTGCCAGAAAAACAAAGATCCAAAAGTTGTTGTCTGTCATACACCAGCAGAGAGTTGATGTCATTGATGAGGAATACAAAAAAAACAAAAATAATCCGAACACCATCAGCAGAGGTGGATTGCAAGCCATGTACACGGGCGCCATCTTACCGGAAGTGGGAAGATGTGGGAAGTGGGAAGATTAGCATTACACTTCTTATCTCTGATTTCTATGGGAACATATGAAAGGGAAGCTGTTATCCTCTGGTCTTGATGAACAATGGACACCACATCTGCTGGTCTTTTGAAGTTCCCTTTAGGATATGGTTTTTGCTGGGGCCTTACCTTTGGACTTTTGCTGGTCAACCTTCCCCCAATCGGCCTTAGCTCCTGCACAGTCTCTTTCCACTTGGGACCCAACTGTAACCAACTGATCCACCGTGGTGACAGTTCCTCTGAGGCAACCAGACAATTTAGGATTGCAGTTGTTTAGGATCCTTCTCTCTAGCTCAGCTTCAGCGATATCTGGCTTCTACAATAAACACAAGGCCCAATAGTCGAAGGCAAAGTCCCCCAAACACTGCTCCGGTAACTGCACCATGTCCCAAAGTTTTTCTTCCACCTCCGAGAGGTAGTCTGGAGGACGAAATGCAGCGTAGAATGCTTCCTTAAATTCCATCCAGTTCTGGATTTTACTCTTGGCCATACACCACCAGCTGTGAGAAGGACCTTTTAAGACACCAGTCAAAGCCCCAATTAATTCAGGGTCCGAGAGTGCTCTCACTGACAGCAATGTTTCACACAGGTCGATGAATTTCAACACATCTGCAACCTCACGTGCACCCGCAAATGCAGGAAAGTACATGTGGATGGGAGGTTTGGCATAAACTGCTGGTATTCTACCAGAAATGAAAGGGACAGGTGTGGGAAGTGTGGGTGTCTCCCTACTGGAGGATGGTGGAAACACCTCGGTAAGGATAGGTGCAGGTCGATTGGGGTCAGAGTCTGAACTTGAACTTGGCTGATCGACGTTTTGTAGATAAGTAGCTGGTTGGGTGGAATGAAATGTGGTTGACTTCTGACAAGTCGAGGTAAACACTACTGGTGTGCGCACAGTAGAAGGAGCTATTAAGGGTGTCTTTTGGACAGCAGACAGATCTAAAGTACGTTCAGCACTGATTAGGGGTTGGGTAGCAGTAGATCGATGGGCGCACTTCAATTTTTCCATCTCTACCTTCCACTTCTCATCACGTCACTGTAAATACTGAACTAACTTTTCCTCAAACTCCTTTAGGGTAGTAATCATATGCTGTTCGAATGCCTCCATAGTTTTGTCTATATATGTTCTTATATTTTGCTCTCGGTTTATAACACTGCTCACTGAGTCCTGAAACTTTTCTTCCAAAGTGTTAACCTTCTCCACCACTGTTGTCAAGTCATTTTTAGGCCTAGAGAGGTCTGCATGTGAGAAATATGGTAAATTATCATCTTCTTCCTCATCATCACTTTCTTCATCTGAAGCATATAATGAACCAAGTAAAGAAGTTATTTCCCCCACAGGGTGTCTCCGGGTTACCCAGACATCACCTCCCGGATAACTATCTGCTAAATCAGTTTCTAAAGGGGGACCCGTTACTCCATCTGCTTCATGCAGTGAACCATATACCTCAGCTCCAGATTAAGAGGGAGTTTCTTCCATAATATCGCTAAAGTTATCACACTTAATGCAAAATGAATTATTTTTAACAACATCCCAAACAACAACAACAGTCAAATATGATACCTCAGCTTAATAATACTCTTTAAAAAAAAGTTTCCCCATATGGGCCACCACTCTGTAACAGTCTCCCATCTAAACGTGAGCTTGTACACACTCAAGAGAGTTCTTTTAACTATTTTGAAAATATTAAGAAACTGAGTATAACATTGGACAGTCCTAAATAAACATTAGGAAGGACAATGAAAAGAGAAAATAAAGAAAAGAAGTAAAAAATAAACTTGGACACGTCAAATTCAAGGTGCTGTTGGTCGAGGCTCGATATATTAACCAAACAAAAATCAACTGTTCCAATCAATATTCAAACATAATCAGTTACACGAGCACATCTTCATGATCATGATAAAGTCTCCGAAATAGTTCAAGTTCCTATATTTCCAAAGAGAGATCTCTCTTATTGTCCCAATAAAAAGTCAGCAATTAGGCACTCAAAAAATATTCAGAAAAGAAAAACTTGTTGGGGCCCATAAGATCCTCCAGTCTCTCAAAACAAAAAAAAAATAAGGAAACGTCTCACCGGGTTGGCGTCTCTGTCTGGGTTTCCTTCTTTAGACCTGGAGCGCTCTCTGCCAAAATCGCTCCAGGAAATCCGGACCGATCCTTCCCCGTGTGGCACTTTGTGTTAATATGGGAGTCTTCTTCTTCCCTCCAGAGTTGGGTTTAACTTCAGCATGAAGCTCAGCTTCAGTTATCCTGGGCGAACTCGGGAGCTTCACCGGTCCGTTTTCTGCGTCTCCGCACGCTGCTTCACCTACCCCACTCTGCTGTCAAATTCTTGTCTATTTATTAGTTCCGGTAAAGCTGTGACTCCGATAATTTTCCTGTGGATTCTTTCAAGACTGAAATACACATCTACACAGACCTTCTTGCATTTATACTAATACAAACATTTTTATTTATATTTCCTTTATTTAGGTCCAAGGTAAACCTTTTTTCACAAATACCTTCGTTTAGTGTGATGTCACACTGTCTTGCCAGCCTGATCTGATTCCCTGTTTTTTGTAAGTTGCTGCCACGTCAGCCTTTTGGTTTATTATTAACGAGTATTTATTTTTGTAAATCCTATCCTGGAGTCCTGACTTTTCCCTGCATTATTGGGTTAACTCCTGCCCTGCTCTGTCAGAAACACTGACAAACAGTGTCTTCAGTCAGAGGCTTCTTCAGACCCGCTGTAAGACAGACCGCTACAAGAGATCCTTCTTGCCCACAGCCATCAGCATCTATAACAACTCTTTAATGAAAACCAGGATGACGAGTTACAACATTTAATTTCCCTCTGGGATTAATAAAGTATTTTTGAATTGAATTTGAATTGAATTCAATGTTTTTCTTAGTTCATATGTTAGATCTTGTTACAGGTTTTTCTTTTACATTTTATTGTAGGATGTAACTGCTACCCTATGTACATAATTTAGTTCCACTACATGTTTCACATGTGGTGCGAATGACAATAAAGTATATCTGAAGCTGAAGCTGAATCTGAAGATAATATAAGTCTAGTTCAGAGAGCGGGATGCCCGCTGGTATTATAATAATGCATTAGACTAGTATTTTTTGGAGAATAAAATAAAATTTATACCATGTTCCTTGAAGTTTAAATCAAGCAATAAATAAAGAATGCAGAATCTCACATACCAAGTTGGCGGAAAATAATTTGTTAGCATGGCCTTCGCTGTGGTTGGCCATTCCAGCATATTTTTATCTCAGTGGTAATAATTATCATTATTCACTGGGAATGCCAAAGCAGGGAGCTTTGGTCATACAGTATGCAGTACAGTCTGGATTGACTAAACAACAAATACAATACTCAAATGTCAGATTATGCTTGCAACACATTTTTCTTGTTATCAAACAGTAACCACCTGAATATTCCTTTGAGCTCTTCCAGGGGGAACGCCTCCAATGAAGAGGGAGTCGCTGACCCTCCAGGGAATGCTGCTTCCCTGAACTGTGTCTTCCAGCTTTGTGAGCCCGTCAATTATTAACCGACCAAAACTCCCATCACGAATCAAAACAAGCTTCAGCAGAACAAGAGCAGAGGTTACCATTTAAAAACAGTTTTGATTAAGTATCTGCTTATTGTATAAATACAAAGTGTTTCCATAAACTTACATTGTGCCATGCACCATCATTATATCTCTTCTCCGTCTTGATTTTTACTCTTTTGTCTGCGACGTTGAATGTGTATACAAGTTTTCCATGGGTCAGGACCAGAGCTATAAAGTTGTCTTCTTGCACGTCAGACACATAAAAGATAAGGCTAAAAGAAGACTGGGTCTTCAGGGACACGGACAGGTTGAACCTGAATGGAGGAACAACATTCAGTTTTGATGCATGGACAACAGGCCTAAAAGGAATTCATAGGTCAACCCTTGGATTGGGTGAACATTAAAAGTTAAACCCTTGCAGTGGTAACAGACAGACAAATGGACAAACACCTTTATTAGGTAGGTCACAACAAAGGAGTGATCTTTGGGCTTGGCTAACACTGAGTTTGTGTTGAGAGGGTTCAGGATCGGACCTACCTCTCAGAGAAAGAGTCAGGGAGGTCAGAGTAATGCTGCCTGCTGTTGGCAATGCCGCCATAGTGGAAGGCTCGGTGTGTTGCTCGTGGGCTCGAGGACAGGTAACAGGACAGAGTCTGTGGCTCTGATGGATCCTGGTCATCACTCCTGTGCTGCTTCAGGTTTGGAGGAAAGCTGAACTTATCTCTGGTAACCTGTGAGAGAAGTTATGTATCGGTCAACACAGACTGTTTGCAGTTAAAAGTAAAATAAATAAACAATCCCCAGATTTCAAATGGCCTTCTTCTTTGTCTTTTTCCTGGCAGCTGCATTTCTAACATCCTTCTACCAATATACCCACTGTCCCTCCTCTGGACATGTCCAAACCACTGTCCCTCCTCTGGACATGTCCAAATCATTGTCCCTCCTCTGGACATGTCCAAACCACTGTCCCTCCTCTGAACATGTCCAAACTACTGTCCCTCCTCTGGACATGTCCAAACCGCTGTCCCCCCTGTGGACATGTCCAAACCATCTCAGTCTGGCCTCTCTAACTTTATCTCCCAGTTGTTCAACATGTGCTGTACCTCTGATGACAAGACAGCGACACACATGATGCAGCCACATCGCGCAGCAGCAACAAACATATTAGGTGTTACAGATATGACTCTGTCCTGTCGAGCCGGTAGACAGAGAAGTCATCTGAAGACACAGCACAGTTGAGGATGGACGTCTCCAGCCCTGAAGGCAAAGACAGAGCAGCTCTTCTTGTCCTGCTCACAATAAATTCGTGCACGCAGGTCATCTAGTCTGCTCCTCAGAGACTGAACCCCTGAAAGCAGGACCGATGGGAGAGGGGGTTTGCTGCATCTCTGGTGGGTCCTGCACAAAATACCAGCTCACTTTCTTCTCCTTATTTTCCTCTTACGGTGCCCAGGTAAACAAAGGACCCAGGGGAAAATGTCCGCCGCCGAGTCCTCAAAAGTCAACCACAGTCCCCACTCACTGACAATCATAACTCAAAAAGTTCATCACGGTCATACCCAAATTGTGTGAGTGCAGTGCAGGTGCAAAACGTCAAAACAAAAACAAAATGAACAAAACGAGTGGAAGCGGAGCTCTCATCAGTGCTGCCATGCTGCAGTACACGTTGGTGACTGAGGAGTTCAGAGGAAATGGGCAAAAAAAGGCAGAGTATAGTTTTTCAAGTTTTACAAAAAAACTGGGCCATTGTTTAAAATAAACTGGCCTCTCGTAGCTGTGTGGCTTACTTGTTGCATGGTCACAAACATTCAGCATTCAGTAAGACTGAAATTTAATAAATGGCTTAAAATGATTTTGCTCAATGAGTTATTGTGTTTGGCTGATAATCCTGCTGTCAGGTCATTTAGAACCAAAGTGATGAAATGTAAGGCACCTGGACCAACCAGCTGAACAAACCAAGAGAAGACCAAGCTGCCTTAAACCTTTCTGCTCTGAGCACAAAGGTTTGTTGTTTCTTGTTTTACCTTCTGTGACTGACTGTGTCTGGCTCTGGAGACGTTGTCTCTCTGCCTCGACTGCAGCGCAGCAGGAGGATGCTGTACTGGACAGTCCTGCACAGAGACTCCCACCTTCTCTGTGTACCTCTGAAAGTCCTCAGCTTCGATGTCTTGGTCTTGTCTACAGACAAAACAAAAAGTGCCATCATGTGAACGTCCACACTTAGCAACAAGCTCAGGTGTCCGTTAACCTGCCAGCCTCAAGTGTGATGATGTACCTGTTGATGTAAGCGTAGCTGATGCAGCCTGTGAAGTTCCTGAAGCTGCTGCTTGGAGACCCTCCATAGTAGAAGGTCTTTGCAGAAGAGTCTGATGTGGACACTGAGGCAGATGATGGACGTTTCTTCTCCTGCTTGTCTTTGTCGTCTACTAACAGTGAATACCTGAGAGGGAGAGTGTGACCAGAGTTTGGCACCAAGTTAAAACTTTTATGAATGAACACACTAGAAAAGACAAAAGTCTAACAGATGTTTAAATTTTTATTTTTCTTTTGGCTGCTCCCTTCTTCAGGAGTCAGTACAGTGAACTAACTTGCACGAAGACTTGGTTTTTGCACCGGATGTCCTTCCTGACACAACCACAGACCACTGAGCTAGAGTGGAGCAAATGAGGGTGGAGGCAGATGCGAGTGCTTCACCTATCCCACCCACATTTTGATGCTGTCAGTCCAGGGAGTTGAACCGGCGACCTTCCAATCACATGTCCTCCTAACCTCTGCCCTGTGTTTTCAATAATATTCTTAACATGCTTTGCTTTGTGAGCTTGAATGCAGCTGTTCACAGATGTAGAAGGTGTTTGTCATGGGAATGATTCAAAGCATTCAGACTATTCAGTCCGGTTCAGTTTTCTTCCGTCCGTTTTTCAGCAGGTAACTTGTTCTGCAATGTTTTCAATGTTTCATTAATCACAACATTCAGCTCATCCAGGAGCACAAAGACCAAACGTCAGATCAGGAATGCCTGATCTGACGTTTGGTCTTTGTGCAGTTTTTACTGTTTGAAATGTTTGGCTTTTCAGCAATGTTTTTTGACAATGAACGAGCTCTCTCCATTACCCATGTACTGTTATTAACATTTAACTGCTCATTATAGTTTTTGTTCCGGTTCAGCTTATTTCAGCATTTTTGTACTGTTTTCAGCTTCTTTCATCTAAATTAATTTTTTTCTGCTTTTCCAGCTACATTTTTGTCCTTTTCTGTTATTTTTTCCCCAATTTCTGCTTTTTGTGAAAATGTAGAAAAAAATTAAACTTTTTGTTTTTTTAGAATATTTTTGCTCATTTTAGTTCTATTTCATATAGGCTTCGCCCTTTAAGGTTGTCGCTGATGCGTTTTATCCCGTTATGCGAAGCATCACACTGAAAAGTTTAGTCCACGCCCACCTGCTGTGTGGGCCCCACCCGGTCTGTATAAGTTACGTTAAGAGCGGGTAATCGGCTCCCAATTTTCTTCAGCAAGTTAATAGCACTGACCTTCTACAAGATGTCCAGCTCCAACACCAACCGCTTGTGTCCATCCTGCAAGACCGGTTACTTGCTCAGCTTTGACCAGCACAACACCTGCGAGGGATGCCTGGGTCCCCGCCACGTCGCCCGTGCTTCCTCCTGCCGCCTCTGTGACAACGTTCCTCCAGAAGAAAGGCAGAGGAGAGCAGCCTTGTTTAAGGCTAACTTCGAGGACTGCCTGTCCGTGGCGGGAGACTGTTCGCTGGACGATGCGATCGACTTCTTGGACGTTGGCTCTCGGAGCGAATCGGATGGTTCCTTTGGGACAGGCGACGTCAGCAGCAGCCCCGATGCTTGCTCCCTCCCGGGGAGCGTAATGTTGGAACGAGGGGGGCCGAGCAGATGCTAGACCCCTCCGGGCTTTCCCGCCTCAATGGTCACATCGCTCCCTGCCGTCGGCGCCCTCCTATCGGAGTTGCCCAACATTATCCAGGAAGCTGCTGACATGAAGGGACTTTTCGTTCCCTCCCTCCCCCTGCCCAGATCGGATGATCTCGCGGGAAGGTTTGGCTCCACTCCGGCTCGCCGTCCTGACCCCATCTGGCCTCGGTTTCCAGCGGTGATGTCGTATTGGAACGAGGCGGTGGCCGGTCCTGGTAAACTGAGAGCCCCCATCTCCACTTTCGCTCCCATCACCAGAGTGGAGGGGTTCACCGAGTGGAACTTTCCCTTTGTACCCCCCCTTGAGCCAAGCCTTGCGGAAGCCTTCGGAGCGAAGCTGTCCAGGATGGAGCAGCGTCCCGTCCCTCCTGGGAAACACGACCAGACAGTGACCACGCTTTCCAACCGAGCTCATCAATGTGCGTTTCAGGCAGCCACAGCTAACAACAATGTGGCACTGTTAGCATACAGCGTGTCCAAGAGGCTAGAGGCTGCAGATCTGCCTGAGGAGTCCAAGAGCTCCCTCTGCAAGGCAGCTGACGCCATCCTCAACATGTGCGCCTCCTCTGCGGTCTGCCTATCCAGAATTGCAGCGTGGATAACGATGATTCAGTGATCCACCTGGCTCCGTCATTCCCCCTCTCTGCCGGAGAAGCTACACAGAGACCTGATGGAGGGCCCCATCATGGCGGACGCGTTGTTCGGGAGCAGTTTCAAGGCCATGTTGGAGAACTCCAAAAAGTCGGAGGAGGTGTCGGAGACTGTGCGCCACCTCATCAAGCCGTGCGGCTCATCCCATCCCCCGGCCCACTGGAGAGATTGTCGTGAGCAGAGGCAGAAGAAACGACATTCCACGGCCACGGCAGCGTCGTCTCGCTCAGCTCCACCACCAGCCCTGCCCGTCAGAGACCAGCCCTCTTCATCCCGGCAACCAGCAGTTCAACGTTTCCCCAGAGATCGCCAGCAGGCGGCGCCCTGGGCCAACAAATTGCAGAGCTCACGGGGGAAAAGGTTAAAAAAAATGACGGTCTGCGGAGGGTGTGTGAAAACGTGACACAAAAGTTGAAATAAAATATAATTCAATGATCAAAGTGTCTGTTTTTAGCCAGTCTGTAAGCTCGGATGAACTCGCAGTGGCTGCACACACATCATCCACACAAAACGAGCCGGTGTCCTTAAATAAAGGTTTTTCAAACTCATCGTTGCTCAAAAACAAGACGAGACGCTCACATGACACAACAGTGGTAAGCGAAATAACTCGTTTTCAGCCCGAGCTGCACAATCCTCACCCAAGCGGTGTCAAACACGCACTCGCTCAACGCAAAAAGCCTCCACCCAAATGGAGTTGCGTTGATGGTGCACACACAGCTCCCCGGTGTTCACCGGCTCACATCGACATAAATATGGGACCGCAGGACGGGTCCGGTGTAGAACCTTGCTCTCAGCGAGAGCGACACGCACCGCACCAAAGCAAACGCATGCCTCCGTGGCGCGGGCAGCCTTCACTCACCATTCCTCAGTACTCGGCCGCTCACGTCAGCATAAGCATAAGATAGCTGAGCGAACCCAGTGACGAGTCTCGCCCCCAGCGAGAGCGGCGCATGTCCCACCAAAGAAAACGCGTGCTCCCGCGGGGCTCGCAGCCTTCACTCAAACGGCATGGCGTGGATGAAGTCGCGCTCACCGCTTGTCAGCGATCGCCCGCTCATGTCAGCATAGATGCGAGATCTCAAAGCGAGCCCAGCACAGGATCCCGCTCGCGGCAGGAGCGACACGCGCGTCACTACAGTGGCGTCAAATGCGTGCCCCCACGGCGTCATGAGTCGTCACACGTTTCTCCTCAACACACACCGGTCCACCTAGACATGAAGGTCAGAATGCAGCACACAGGCATGTTGAGAGCCCTTTTGAGAAAGTCTCGACTTGGGTCACGCGGAACACATTCCTGCAACACATGACGGCGGTCGAGGCGGTGGACTGGATGGCATCCGTACAAAACATGATGTATCACTTAAACGCGTGTCCAATCCACAAACGTTACGCGGAGTGGCTAAAAACATGCTTGCCAGACAGATGGATGACCAAGTTGTTAAGCAGGGGTTACACGCTAAAATTTGCAACCCGACCCCCTCCGTTCGGAGGAATTTTAGAGACGGTCCTGTCTTCACCAGACCAAATCTCATTCCTAAATGCAGAAGTCCAAGAACTTCTGGTAAAAGAGGTAATCTCCAGAGTTCCCAACGGAGAAGAAAACATGGGGTTTTACTCATGTTACTTCCTGGTTCCCAAACGGACCGGAGGAAGGAGACCGATTTTGGATCTGTCAGTTTTCAACAAGGCGATCATGGACAGACCGTTTCACATGTTGACAACCAGACAGCTGTTGGACAACATCCAGAGAAATGACTGGTTTGTTTCCATCGACCTGAAAGATGCCTACTTTCACATACTGGTGGAACCAGATGTGTTTTTCCCTCTCCCCCCCCCCCCCCCCACCCACTTCCCTGCTGCGTTCTTTTGTCCTGTGAACCCTTAAAAAAGCCTCTTTTTTTCTGCATACCTCTTAATTGGAAGGATCAGCTGGTCTCTCAACAAAATTGATCAACTTCTCCCGACAGGAGTCAGGGTAAGGAGGACCCTCTTACCTCGAAGGAAACGAATTGGATTCATGATGACAACTAGATTCTACTGTTTGGGTTGGTGAAATCTGGTTGTCTACAAATTTGTGTGGAGGTGTTGAAGCTTGACAGTGCTCGGACTGAATGTGGAGCTGTGACAAGGAATTGGAGCAGCTGTTATCAGGACTGTGATCTTCCTGGCAGCACTCATGAATGGTGGGAATAATATGGAGAAGCTGTGAGCTCAACTTTTGGAGTAAAGGATCAATTCGGCTGTTTTGGAGTTCATCAGAGAATATGTACAGTAAGACTTTAAAGGCAGAAACAACAATTCACGAGTTCTACCTGACCCAAACTGTGGCCTTGATGCCGGACTTATCTCAACTCCTCCTGGAATGTTTTGAAAACAACAAATATGTTTTGACTGTTTCCTCACCCCTTCCTTCCCTAAGGCCGTGGACATGTAACAGAACCTCAACTGAGCTGAAGAGGAATGTCACCTCTTATCTGGACAATGGCTGGGGTGGGGGTGGGGGGGGCAGGACTATGCTACGACTTTCCCTTAAAAATTCAATGTTTTCACCGCCTATATGTACATGTATAACGTCTGTTTATGTTGCTTTGCTGTGGTAGGTTTTTTTGATGCCTCAAATTGTGCCCTGTCTAGGACACGGTGTGAGAGATCTTTTTTTTTATACCGTCTCTCCTCATGTTTTCTTTCCTTTTCTTATCTAAGCAAAATATTATTCTGAATAAGAATAAGAAGGCCGCGCTAATTATTTATAGCCGCAGCTTCGTGCACTCTGCCCATCTTCGGATGACTGTACGTACATATTTGCGTTGTATCTCGGTGCAATGCCAATAAAGTTTATTCTGATTCT